GGGATATGTGCAAGTTTATCAACTCAATAGCGCGCGAAGCTGGGAGTCACCTCATCGAACTTTCTGTGAGAATTCTTGATCTGGATACCGTCATTCTCCCGGGCAAGGCATCGGCATGTTTTCAGAAGCTGGCAAAGTTCCAGTTTCCTCTGGACTATGTCATGGGCAACGTCGATACCGTTGGTGCTACAGGGAATACTGCAACCCCGTTTCTTCGCTTTTTCGACTACTCAGTCGATCCATTCATCCACGGCTTGTTACCTGAATCACTCACACATTTGGCGTTGTTGAGGCTTAACCCAACGCCTGGTCACGACAAAGCTCTCGGTACACTGTTCCGCCATTTTCGTGCGTTACGCAAATACCAACTACGGAACCTTAGAGAGTTACACGTTGCTCGTGGAATGATCAAGGACGAGACCTACAGCCAACAGTGCGACAAGATTGCTACGGAGGCTGGTCGCGCAGGTGTAGATGTTTATTTAGAACATGGTAATCATTGTAGGACTCCAGGGTGGCGCAAATAAGCCAAGGCTATACGAGCCTCGTGCCACTTGATAGTTCAGATTAGTCTTACGTCTAAGAGGAATATTATACTTTTTTTCTACTAAATACTTTTCTTAAGCTTTCTTAGCAGAAGATAAAAATCCATAGAGGATGAGCCTGTGTTGAGGGACGGGTGAGAGGTTGTGCAGCTTGGAAAATGGTTTGAACGGCAGGGGCGAGGCAAAGGCTAGGGAGCGCAGTTCTGTGCGTTGCTGCAATAATTTGGGTTAGGGATAGCTAGGGTTCATATCTAAGTCTAACTTCTACTATCTTTAAAGAGGGTTGCTTGCTGCGTTTAGGCGATACCGGACCAACATCTCGTCCCCATGTCGATATTCCTGCGTCGTTATACATGCCACAACTAGGAAGAGGCAGGGGCGGGGGCGGGGAGTGCGAAAGTTTGGTCGTTCGCGCGGATAAAACGGGCTAAGATAAAAAATCTATGTAGAGATGTTGGAAGGCGGGGAAAGCTTGTGTTATTAGGTGTTTGCGGTCTACTATGCCGAATAAGGTACTCTATCTAGCGCTGTGTAAGTTTTGTAGATTGTTGGTTCTGGTACATGTAGGAAGTAGATGGGTGGTTTGTGTTGCATGTATATGGACACCGTGAAACCAACAGAATCGCACTCAATACATGACAGTTGGGTATTTAGGTAACTACCGGCGGTTTCATGTCCTATCAACCCAACACGCTCTCTCTCCCTCTCTCTCTGTTAGAGCTAGATTGCCAATTTTTTTCTCTGCGAGCGGCAGATTGGGGCAACAGTACGAAAGAGCAAAAAATCATGTGTAGGAATCAGCCGCGGGAAGAAGGATTCATGCAATACATCGATTCCAATCTGCCTCCTCGCATAGAGGTAGACAATGAAGAGATAAGGTTTTATTGCACCATGCAGTAACGCCGCAGACTGGTTCCAGATCACACTTGTTGTATGCACATGTGAATCCAGCCTGTGTGTTTACTGGCTTTTGCATTCGCGACAACGTTACGATGACATTGATGGAGACAGGATAGTGCGCGTGAAGAAGCCCACCTGCTACTTGCCCAGCAGTGCGTTACATCCCCACACGGTCTGGAATCTCTAGATCACACGCAGATTGACATGCATGTCTCTTCTTCCCTCCGCCGTCCAGACCACATACGCAGCACCGGAACGTACAGGTTAACCAACGCAAGATCTCGCGCGAGATGACGGAATGCCTAGTAACATTCTGCAACGCAGGATCCTTTCCCTCCTTCTCTTTCCACTGCTCTTTTCTTGCTTATCAGTCCCACCCCCTCTGCTTCATAATCGCCCATTCTCTCTGGATAATCAAAGTCTCGGACGATGAATTGTCCGTGAGACTTGCATCGGTCCTAGTACTCTAGACATAAGTTTAGCTACTTCCTAATCAGTCAGGTCAGCAAGAGCGAACTTGATTACCTTCTTTAGGTAGGCTACCGAACCATTGATTTCGCCTAGTTACCTAGTTACAATCCTAAATATTGCCAGCACGCCATAACAGACGGGTTGCGGAAGCGAGGCTGAGGAGAAGGAACCACCAAAAGAAGGAAACAATATATTAAACTGATAGTTTAGCTAGGTTGTGGGCTTGCACAGTACCCTTTTCACGTGTGACCAAAAAAAATCAATCTTGTCGTTTTCGGAACGTGCCGTATAGCGAGTGCACTCAACCGGAACACCATCCGAACTATCGCGTTGTAAAATATATATTTCAGTGTCTTTTTTTTCGGCCGTTTTGCTTGTGCCGCCAACCTGCAGAAAGAATAACTTTAGCTGGCTTGAAAATATCGTTAACATGCAATAGTAAGACGACGAAACGGCTTTTTTACCCGCCGTCAACGTCGCTTCACCCGGCTCCAGCCAAAAGACGCTGGAAGACGGAAGAAAACAAAACAAAAGTACACCGCATATCTTCAATAAAGTAACTTTGTTCCGATCATTTCTCTCTCCGCGTCTAAACACGACAGGTGCGTATAAGCGACGCCAGTTATATGTGCAGGGGTGTCAACTAGTGTAATTGATGTTCACTTCTGCCCAGATGCATGTGGAGCGCACAGCATCTTCCGCGCCGGGTACGAAAAAAGGTAAAATGCGGGGTGAGATTGACCATGTGAAGCAAGAAAGCAGGAAAGAGCAGATTAAGAAAAAAACCTTGTACCCGCGAGTCTGTGCGCTTGTGGGGTAGGGTCAGGTATGAGCAATATCGCGCGATATGAACGGTGGCTATGGGAGGAATAATTGATTACCTAGCTATATTAATCTGAGAGGTGAAGCAAAAGACATCGAGACACTGCATAAGCGACACTCGCGCGCAAGCGAGAGAATACACATACATGGACATGGTACCAACGCTCGTGCATGCATATAGTTATGCATGGATGTCATGGAGGCGCAGATACGTAGCTCAGGTGCTTGGGTGTGCTAATGTACCATGGATGTACGGTACATGCTTGCAATGCGCACTTGTGCGCTTGAAGATTGGGTCCTACAATGCTCACTGGCGTATATTGACCTGCAGAAACTGGGAAGCGCAAGAAGCACCTTTTTCACATTTGCTTGTCCCCTTTGGGAAATCGACGATGGTGGGTAGGTGTGGGTGAGCGCACTGCAGCATTGAATAGACTTGGCGGGACTATATGGTGGAAGAGGACGAGTGTGACTGGAATCACGGTAGAGGAGCCGAGTGACGTTGATCGGTGGCGATGGTGCTACTGCAGGATGGTTGTTAGCAATGCCGACATTTGATCGACGCCGGGGTATATTGTTCGTGTATATCGATGCGTAAATGCGTTTGGATGAGAGCTCGGGTTCTTGTCAAACAACGTCATGTCCATGTCTTGCAAAAGGCAGATCGATATGATGAACTGGTACGTGTAACTGTTGTGTCTATCGAGATAATATCGATTGTTGCAGCTGCTGTCTATACTTTCGTCTTTTATTGCCGTATGACCATCTACGTGTCTATTGCCCGTCCCATAAGCTCCTTTCCACGAATAAACATACGTAATGAATGGGCACCCAAGCGAGAAGAGAAGAGATCAGCATCCGAGTCAGAGATGGTGCCGCTCCTCAGTGGCCAAACCGCAGTTCCCTTTCTCGAATTACCTACTTTCTCTCTCCAGCAATCTCCTCTTCCATCTGATACCTATCCTGAATCGCTCTCCACCCCCTTACCACTACATCAGCCATGACATCGTTCTTTCCCAACTTGACCACTGCCTCTTCGATCGGCACAAGGTAGCTTTTATATTCTGCTTCCTCCTCGTCTACACCCGTCCCCTCGTGATGAATAGGCTCGTACCCTTCAGGCTCCATGGCTAGCCTCTCCTTCAACGTAAGGTCAGCCGGGAATGGTGGAGGAGGTTTGTACGGCTCGTTAGGGGATGAATGTAGTGACTCCTCCAAGGAGGGCGGGATCGTTTCTGCAATATACCAGTACAGTAGGTATTGAATATTTCGATGACCGACGGGCAATAATTGGATCCAGACGGGTTCTGCGGTGATGCGTGGAGCGGTTATACGCGGGTGTGCTTGAGGTTGGTGATGCCTGGTTGGTAGGGGAAGGAGGCGGTTTCGGTACCCGGACTTGTCCAAAGTTCAGTCAGTCTTGCAAGTTCTCGTCCTTTGATTTATTCTCTTGTCCGTCTCTTGTTGTTCGTGGTCAATTGATACTGCTATCCTACTAGAGCCTCCTGTCTGGGAGCTTCACTCGGATGTTCAACACCTACATAGAATATATACATAGAAAGATTGAAGCAAATTCAGGGACCGTAACACTAGAGCCAATAAAGAAAACCACACTCACCTCCTCAAATCCCTCCCTCTCCGCACCTCTCTCCGCACTTTCGCCGGCATCCCTACGCCCCTTGGGCAAGAAGAAATAAGTACGTCCTCTTCTATCCTCAGCGCTGCAGATGACCACTCTCTCGCTCTTGAGGTGGAAGATCGCGACCCCGCCACCCATCACGAAGTTTTCGGCAGGATACTGCGCGAATGTTGGGTGAGGCGATGATAGCGGGGCAGGTATTGCTGCTGCTGCTGCTGCTGAGGATGGCATAGCTGCTGTTGGTACTGAAATTCTATCTGTTGTTGGTGGATTTATTATAGTGGTAGAAGATTTAGGGATATTAGTATTGGGATTGTTAGTGATATTATCGGCTGTCGCAACACGATAGCTCGTCGAGGTTTTAAAGTCCTTGTTAGGCAGCAACATCCACCGAGACCGCAGGAGTCATCTCTTCGCGTTTGGCCCAGCTACTCCTCGTGAGCTGCACGAAAGGTATTCGGCCGCGGCGTTTTCTTGTCTGTGCTGACCGGCCAGTTCTATTTTGTATCGTTTCGGAATGGTGGGGTTGTGAGAGGCGAGTTTACCCGATGATTGTTTGTATTTTTTTAATTACAACAGGGTATATATAAAATATAAACATGGAAATTTTCAACTTCAGCATAGGACGTGTGGCCCAATGGCAAGGCGCTTGACTACGATCACTACAGTAATCAAGAGATTCCAGGTTCGACCCCTGGCACGTTCATTTTTTTCTTTTTGGCGTTCTCTGCGTCCTTTTGTTTTTTTGCATGGGGTTGATGCACGGGACATGCCCCTAACGCCGACATGCCGATGTTGACAAACATTACCCTGAGTCTTTGCCATCGCCAAAACAACAACGCGCAATCAATCTACCCACCCTCCATCCTTTCGACTCTTCAGTGAGCCGTACATTTGTATCATTCATGCATTAAGCAAAATATACATATCTGAACATGTCCGCGAACGACGACCTGCCATGGAACACCACGCGCTGCAATCGTCTCCTGCGACCGCTTTCATCCAAACTTTCTAAACTCCGCAAAGAACTCGAACGACCACGGAGCTCGAACGGCGACCGAAGAACATCCGCAAATTCATTTTCGCTCAAGGCATCGCCACGCAAGGTTGTCCTCGTCTCTCAATCATCATTGTCGCGTAAACCTCGTCTATTCGAAAAGCGAAAAGATCCGGACTGGATCCCAGATGCTGGACCCCATGGCGCGAATAGGAAAACGTATGGGGCCCGGGGAGCGAAAAAGGCACACAATGTGCAACGAACGAGTGGAAACGGCCGGAACACACGCCCGGGCGAGCTACCATTTACACCCCTTATCAGTCGCATTGGCGGTAATTTCAAAGAAAGCCCTCAGACCGAGGCGTCGCCGGCCAGAAGGCACCCAAAGAATAGAGGACCACTCAATGCCAAGGTGGAACAGATACAAGAACTGAAGAAACAATTGCCTGGTGAAATCGGCAAGCTGGTCAATGGCCTGTCAGAAGCGTATGCAAACCTGCTCATGGCTACAGCAACAGAAGGGGAAAAGAGACGGAGTGGTACAAGGTCTCTGTTCAGCTCGTGTGTCAGGAAAATCCCCGAATACATTCAGCTCGAGGAATATTTTGCGGCGCTTGATAAGGAAGAAGAGGACGATGACGATGACGACCGCGACTTGTCACAGGAAACCTATACGTATCTCGAGACCCAGTTCGAATCAATATCAGGACAAGGTTGGAGAGCATTCAAGCAAGTAGTACGGGCCCACGGCACATCCTTGGTATGCGATGCATTTACGGACCAACTTCTCGGCCTGGTGACCCTGCATGTACTGGTTTCGCACTGTCTGCATTCCGCGTTCTGGGACGAGGCTGAACAGCTTCTCCTGGCCTATCTGCCAAACCTTAAACCTATCTTGCTACCAAACACTCTCGCTGCAGATTTGTTTGATGGAGAACGATCACCGTACATGTGGTTGTGCAAGAGTTTTGTGGGTCGCACTGGTCGACATAGGTTTCTGTACGATCTACTGGCCTATTTGATTTCTCAAGATCTCTTGCCTCTGGAATGGCTAGCAACTGAGTCTATGCGGCCCGTGTGGGATCGCTTGGTGCGTACTCTCGCTGATGGTGATCCACGTTCAATGGACAGTGCATTTCGATTGTTAGAAGTTGCCGTCGCAGCCGCCATCGGCCTCTCTCATGAAAGTTTGCGCGAGGATGACTCAGATATGCTTCCACGCCAATTCAAGCCATCTGCACGACACGAGTTTCGCAAAGCCTTGGACACTACCTTCTCGAGCTTGTTCACAATTTTCTGCAGCATCGCTTTAGTTAATCAAAGCCGGGATGAAGGTTCGGGTGAGCTGATTGCAAAGCGGGTCACATGGGTGCTGGATTCGATTGTAATAGGACTGCTCGAACGGGCTAATATTTCAGAGGATTTGAAACTACTCGGTCCCATTACCGACTATACGCAGACGTTTGCTGAACGCGCAGTATGGCTCATGTTCTCCTCTTTTCTTATTCATTTGAATGGATGCCACATGGATTCCTCCACAGTATCCCTCGACATTCCCACCACCGTCAAAGCCATCAACTGGATCATTTCGCACTATGCTTCCTATTCCGTGGATGTTTCAACTGTCCTCTCCACTCTTCCTGAAATCACTTCATCCACCGCACAGGCAACCGGTAAAATATGGAAAGACGACGGGTTCGACCAGATTCAACGTTTCGTAAATGGCATGCTTTCTTTGTCTGGTATCCGTCTTCCACATAAGCTGTGGACTCTGAAGCGTTTGGCATTGGAAGCAGCAATGGAGTTTGCACACAGCACTGGTGATGCACAGCATATGGCATACGCAATCAAGATTGAGAAAACGATGCGTACAAAAGGACATGTTGTCATATCCCAATCGCCCCACAAAGGCGACTCGCCATCCTCTAGCGGCGGATTTCGCTGGGAGGAAGGCATTGGCGAATGGGTAGCTTGCACGCCTTTCGCGAAACAAGACGTCAAACCTATACCTCGGAAACCCATGCGCTCTCTCTCCCTTTTGCCATCTCCTGACTGGTCGCAGGATAAAGAGACAGATACAGAAGAGCTTCCCACCACCACTGGCAGCGACCAGCCCATCGCCGAGACGTTAGATGACGACGAAGACTATACGTTTCCTCAATCATCTCCTGTCAAAAGTCGTCGGCAGGTGCCAAAGTCCGCACTGGGCAAACGGAGTCGCGCGCCTTCGCCGATAGTGTTCATTCCAGTCAAACGAACGCTACCTACGCCACCAAAAAGTCCTCTCATCTTCTACCCTGAACTACCTGATAGTCAAAGCGATGATGGGATGCGAAGATCATCCGGAAGTAATAACGATGCTGAAGTTTTCGCCGCCAAACGTACCAGCTTGCGTCCACGACCCTCGCGAACATCTCTTGACAAAGGTCTGCGCAATCAAAAGCGCAAGTCCTACGCACTGGCGCAAGATATCTACGTCGATTTTGATACCAGCCATTCTGAGTCGGAAGAGACTTTGGAGCCCAACCCGCCTTCTTCAACCTCCGCATTCCACTTGACCACGGGCGCAAATATGAACACTACCAGGCTTCGTAAGATCCGAAAGCGAGCCTCCGTCGGCAAGAGATCTAAGAGCGACGGCGCAAACGGAGGCGAGAACGAAAACGAAGACGAGATCAGCAGCGACGAACTGGCTAGCCGCTCATCCTCTCGCTTGCGTAAAAGCCGCAGCGGTAGGAGGATCCAGGTTCCGAGGGAGTGGTGGAAAGTCGAATCTGATTCTCCCGGAGGTGCCAACGACGAGGATGAGCTTAGCTTCTAGCTATCCATTCACTAGTAACGAATGGATGGGCTACGACGGACCGGTGAATTTATAGGTCGTTTGATGTGAATGATACCCCCTTCCTTTTCTTTTACGTATTGCTCATAGTTATGTTTTTATTGCACTGTCTAGTTATAAGCGGATACCCCTGAGCAAGTAAGACAGGAGTTTCATCAACTGAATACAAAATACATAAAGTATTCTTACCTCTGTTCTAGCCTTTCGTATATGCGTCATTCATTTGTTGCCTGCTGAATAGTGCCTAGGCCATCATTTTAAGGTTTACCGTCGGTTTTCTAGGACGCGAAATGTTTATAGGTAGCACGCTCTTAAAAGACAGTAGAAGTTAGACTTAAATACAGCAGGTTTTTTAATACTCTACGTAAAGAAGTAGGTGCTCTTTTAATAAGTTTTTAAAAATATGTACTATATATTTTAGAATACTATAAGGATTTAAATAGTAGTAAAACTATAGTATTTAAAGGTTACATAGTATGTTAGGCTATGTTATCTTATCTTTCTTAAGTACAACTTCCACTATCTTCTAAGAGGCACGGTACGCTTCTACATTAGGAGACTCCTCTTGTGCGCTATGTCTCAAAAACGTGCCAATGGTTTTCTGCAACCTTGAACATACCTTACATGGCGAATATGTTACGTCTCAGTCATGATTCGTTGCAGAGGGTTTCATCTTACCTCGAGGATACAAAAAATCGCCGAACCAAACACTTGAAAACTCCACTGCATTCTCCTCCCCTATAAGAAAGGACAATCTATTCTGAACAAACGACAGAAATTGCATTTCATAAAATCATATACATGTATTAATCATGAACCAGCCCATATATACAGACTCCTCAGGGGTCCTCAAGCCTCGAGAGCAATCTCTTTAACTGGCGCATCCGCCAGCTTCTCGACCTTGAACGCAACAGGCTCGCCCTCGGGATCATCCTCACCAGCCTCCTTCATGCCACCCAAGATCATGGACCCGGGCGCCATAGCCTGCCACTGCCAGGGATCCGTGAAGGCCTTGAACTTCTCGTCGTGCCACTGTCCCGCAGTGATATACCTACCCTCGCTATCAACAAACATGGTGTCGTCCTCGGCGCGCAAAAAGTACGCAATCGAGTAGCGGTGCTCGGTCGGGTCGAAGGGGACTACGCGGTGAATGCACGACTGGAACTTCATACCACTGGCGAAGCGCAGCGAGTCGCCGACGTGTACGAAGGCAGTGCCGGCGCGGGGGGCGACGAAGCCCATCTCCCGCGCGCCGCAGGTCCCTGGAGGTCGGATTTGTAGGCCCCATTGTTCGCTGAAGAGGAGAGTGAGGGAGCTGATGTCTGTGTGTTTTTGGTGTCCGACTTTGTTGTTGCCGGTCACGGAGGAGGGGAGGTAGTGCATCATGGATAGCTGAAGTTTGGTTAGTAATTGTTTCCTGGGTAGAATGGATGATAAGGAGAGGTATCTTAGTTGGTGGATACTTACAGTGGTGGTGGAGGGGCGGTCGTTGCGGTGCGAGTTCTCGTACCGCGACGCTCCGGTAAGGTTCATGCCCGTGGAGAGCGCAGAGAGAATGACTTTGGTGATGGTGTTTGCGCTGCCGATAGCGTTCTCAAGGATGCTCAAATCACCGTTGTTCTTGATCGGCGAGGGAACCTTGGGGCTGCCGCGCTGGATCTCATCACGAGATACCTTGAGCATCTCGTAGCCGTCTTTGCTGCCTGCCCCAAAAGCTCCTGTCCGGCTGCCGACTGGCTCATAGCCGAGGTGAGAAGAGATGAGGCCGTACTCGTTCTTGGCCTCGATGGGAGCGTCGAAGAAGCGCTTCATGAGGCTCAGTGTGTCTTGCTGGTCCCGGAGCATTCGCCGGCCGTCGATGCTTTGGAGG